TGTGATGCAGGTCAGAGACTTCTTTCTTTAACGCCAGTGGGAGACGATGAAAGAAACAATTAGTCTGTTGACTCTCTAAGATTAGATAACGTAATGATGAGGCAAGAATTTCCGCCTCAAGCTAAACTTTAAATCGTCAAATTTCCGCTTTAAAACGAGTCCGCAAAACTAGTCCATACTGGCTATGACCTGTTTCGTTGTAGCTCTTCAATTCGCCTTGCCAAAAATTCCGTGGCATGTGAAGAGCACGCGGCGCCAAATCCCTTTGGCTGGACGTGATCAGTTGTGCAAGGGGTTAGGAGGGCACTGTAATTAACTGATAGATTTGGCGCCAGATTGATGCTTGGCGGGAAGATTAGAGAGCTTTAAGACAAATATCGTGACAATAGCGAAGAGTGCTAATGACGTCAAGAAATTTTAGTTTCTCCCTCGTGACTCAGACAAACAATGTTCGATTCTTACTGAGTGTGACAAGTAATACGTAAACGGATGGAGGGCAGTTCGCTTCAATCTTTTGCGGTTTTGATGGCTAGACAATGTTGTTAGAAAACCAAACCAAACAATTTCACGAGACTTTCTGAATGAACAACAAAGCTCTTAATCATAATGCTTCCGATCAACTGAATTAACCTCTGACTGCGTTAGCCAAAACAAAAACTTCCATGTGGGTCCAAAGGAAAGTCAGAAGACAAAGTGAACATGTCCACTTAAGTTGGACAAGGCCACAAAAGTGATTCAAAACAAAAACAAACGGCTGCTTTCCATCAAGGTTGGAAATAGGCCTTTAGGTACACGGGCAGACCACCTTTGGGGTGTGTTCAGGAGCTCCTGGTGTGATGACCTACTTTTTCAAAAACTCATGCATCGGTTTTCATCAGGGTTCCAAACACGAGAAAACTGTTGAAAGCACGAGGCCGCAGTCTGAGTGTTTTTATTGTTTTACTGTTTTAGAATAGCTTCTCAATCGCGCCCCAGGAATAAAAGAAAATGGAAATATTGACGAATTTTTCACACGTCGGCAAGTTTGATGTTATGAAAAATTGTATTGTTGTGGTGATTTGTCTTTTCAGACACAGAGGGTACTGGTGAAATTGGTAATTCGAAGAGTTCTTTTAATCATTTTATGACCTCTGCCTACTTTAAGAACTGTAAAATAAATAGAGAATGATGTGGGTTTTTTTTTGTCCCTCAATGTACGAGGTCTGTATACACTGAATCAAGAATTTCAAAAATCAAACAATAAAAGAAGCACTTTTTGGAGTACTGTTGCAAATGGCCTTTTAAAAATAACACATCAAATGAAAGCAATCGTTTTCCCTTAGTTAATCCTAACCCCAACAGTGAGTGGCATCTAATTTCTCCTTAAAATATCACCCCTGTTCACAATCCAAACAAGTTCTTGATTGTTAAACAAATTCTCCTTGTCAGCACCTTAGGAAATGTATGAATATGCTTACTGATGTTAGTGTGTAAAGGGTTAATGCATCAACACACACAACAGCCAGTTTACAATGAATCATGGGATGAGATTAGCAATCATGAAAATAAACAAAAGGCTTCTACTTTAACACTTTAACTGCCATGAGTGACCAAGACAGAATTTCTCCTTACAACATCAATACAATATCAACCAGATAAGTGATGAGAATAAAGAAAAATATCAATCTGGGAATAATTAGTTGATCCAACACTAAATTCTCTGAACTAATATTAAAATAATTTTATGGTTGACAGTAAGGAGAATTACAAATTTGGTCTGGGAGTCACAGGGTTAAATAAACATACTGTAAAACCTAATAAATACAACACAAACAAAGGAAATGCTTACAGTTCAGTCTTTTAAATTTTACCCGTAAAACATATCTTTTGACGTAGAAGTCTTCATCTCACTGATGACTTTAACTCCCAAGATCTGATTGTTAATTCTCCCTTCTAGCTGCTACACATTTCCTTGTAAATTAGTTATGATAACTTGGTGCTAGATCAAGATAGCAGCTTCTACCTGATAAGTTTGAATATTCTCATTACCTGTTTGCTGAATAATGTATGGATATTGTTGGGAGAAATTTTATGTTAATTACTTCTGGGAGTTAAAGGGTAAAATATGATGATGTTTTGAAGTTAGCTAGCTTTAATTCATTTTCAATACTTAGCACTTTGTTCTTAAATTGATGTGTAAAAGTAATGTGTAAAATCAATTTTAATCCAAGTAGTCATCAAACGAACCCTTACGGCCTTTCCCCTGTAAAAACTGCTTTGCTCCCTCAATGGAATCCTTCATGATTTGCAGTTTCACTCCTTTGGAGTATTCATATGTCAGAGCATCGTAAAAGGAATCTGCATTGAATGTGGCATAGAAAACAGATTTGCGGTCTGCACACAGTGCCTCTCTTGGAAAGCGAACCAACATTTTTGCAAGTTTGAGAGCTTCTTCGACTGTTTTTCCTTTGGGAACAACTCTGTTAGCAAGGCCAATGCTAAGAGCTTCTGTTGCATGTACAGCACGGCCTGTCATGATCAGGTCTAATGCACGTGAAAGACCAACAATGTATGGTAACCGCACTGTACCTCCATCCACTGTAGGCACACCTTTGTACAATTATAATATCATATGTTAATAATGCTGTTTTGTCAAAGCAAAAAGGTACAGTCTGTACTCAAACCTATTCACCCACCCAGCCAGAGCTAATTATCGTGGTTGCATGAAGTAACTACAGTATCACTACTTCCCCCTAGATGGCAATATCACTACTGCCTTAAACAGTCGCACATTGCCACTGTACTAAGCCCTTTTGCCACAATTATAGAAGATTTTTTCTTTCAAAGTATGCTTTTATTACCAAATCTTCTGTTGAACATTCCCATGACTGCATCTTCTGCAACAACTCTGAGATCACACATCAGTGCCAACTCCATTCCTCCTGCAACTGCATGTCCCTCAATGGCACCAATCACTGGTTTAGTGAGTTTCAATCGAGTTGGGCCCTGGACAGAGAGTAAAAACATCTATATATTATCAGTGTGCGAGATCCCTTGTAGACTTCTCATCAGCTTGCATTGTTCAACACCTCATACTTTCCTTGTATTTGAAGAAATATTTGTGCCAAATCCCCAATATTAAGGGCCTGTTTCTTTGCCATGACAAAAAAGGACAGGGATTTTAATTAAAAGCTACTCATGTCACCTTGGGTGATCATGCATCTCACCAATCAGTAATCATGCAAAAAAAATCATTTTTCAAGTTATTTGATCTGTTTTCACAGATTTTTACCTCAACACTATGTGGTATGATTTCAATTATTTTCAACTCAATGGAATCAAAAAAGTTCCTATTGTGTTTTAAATAATTCTTCAGAGCTTGCTCTCAAGGTGGACCTCTGAGTTAAAACAAAGAATGGGGAGTTGAGGAAAGGAGATGCAGAATGGAAAATGAGGAATGGGAATTGGAGAATGGGAAATCAAGAATGGGAAAAGGAGAATGAATGACCCTTCTGTGATAAAATACCACAGTCCAGTTGTTCAAAGAGCTGATAATACTATCCATATTGTACTCCTGTCTCTTTGGGAATTCTCTCTGTGTTTATATTGGCATCCAATTTTACTCACAAATTAGCATTGTTAATCAGGATAACATGGTTTTAAGGGTTTTTTAATGGCAATATTTCATGGCTAAATTGTTCAGCAAAGCTATTCTCTTGAAATAGTCACCGGATGAAAAAAGGATAACAGGAAAATATCCGAAATATTCCAATATGAAAGAGTTATTTTTCTTCCACATCGCCCCTACTACTGCACCAGTGGACAAACGATCAATGAATGCAATACAAAACAAACTAGAAAAAAAAATTTAGTAATAGAATTCTATAGATAGCAAAAAAGATGCCAAGTGTTTGCATAATTTCAAATAATTTTTGTATTTCGTATTTTCAGTGTCTGTCATAAACGTAAACATTGTAACGCACCATGGGACCGTCTCCTTCTCCAGGGGGGGTGAGCCATCTCAGGAACTCATCAGGACCCCTGGTAGATAGATATTCTAGATCATATCCTGCACAAAACGTATCTCCTTTCCCATACAACACAGCCACTGAACTTTCATCGTCGATCTCGAAATGTCTAAACGCGTCTGCGAGCTCTTTCGCGGTCTCTGCATCAACCGCGTTGCGCTTCTCGGGTCGTGCAATCGATACAAGGAAGATCTCTCCATCTTGTTTAGTCTCGACAAGACTGCTGTTAAACCTTCTGGCTGCAGCTATCAGAGAAGGAATTTTAAGTGCGCGCTGTCGAAGAAGAAGCGTGAGTGTCATTTTCCTGATCAAACCCAGGAATCCGGAGTAAAACCTGGGACGGGAAAGTTTCTAGAGCAACTGTAAACCAATCAGATTGTTCCATTTTGAGTCTTCGAGAAAACATGGCGGTGTGTCATCACTTGCATCGAGCCAATTTTCTTCAAATGCGTAGAGATCCTCCTGCAACATATTTTTCCTCGCGAAAACGAATGATGACAAGTCAATGAAATGAGGGGTTCCAGAGAAGAAAAAGCGGATTCAGCCTCTTCGGGTGAAGATGAGGAATCATTGAGAGAATTGGTGAGTTTTGGCAAAGTTTAAACATTGAAGACTCCTGTTTGGGAAATTTGTGAACTTTTCTCGCAGATGCGGCAAGGTCTTGTGGCTAATTCTCGTTAGGGTTGCATTCTATTTTAATACTTGTTTTGGGTTTTTCTTGAGTGATGCTTTGTGTTGTTTTGATCGATATAGATTAATGAACATCGCAAACAACAGTTGTTTACGAATCTGCGGATAGCTCTGCATCAAACTTTAAACATCTTGTTCCACACAACTGAGTCCTGACTTATTATTATCACAATAATATATCCAGATGTTTCCTTTTTAAACCTTCCTTTGCTCTATTTTCCTGCTGTTCCAAGGTATCGATTACATTGATCCATTAAATCAGATTTTGCACCTGACATTTTAATATTTTCAAGCTCATTTAGTACAATTAAGCAAAAAGTAAATGCACTTAAAAAATGGATCACATAGAAATGTAACTTAGAAAAAAATATTCTAATTTATGCACTAATAGTAATACGAGCTGTCACGATTAAAGAAGGTGATCAGTTTGTCATTGAAAATTGTCAGCTGGCCACATGATTCGTTTCGTTTTGATAACCTGACATGCAACACAGAAAAATTATCGTAATTTCTGCACTAATTAATAATAATACAAGCTGTCATAATTAAATAAGGTGAACAGTTTGTCATTTAGATTTCCTGGTTGGCCAAGTAGTTTGTCTCAATCACCTAAAATGCAACATGGAAAAATTACAGTGATACAAGCTTTCATAATCAGGGAGGTGATCACTTTGTTATTGAGATTTACCAGCTTTGCATCAAGATTTACCAACCCAGAGGAGTATGACATTTTCAGGTTTTCAAAATCACCTGCTAGACTCCTAACATGGCAGTTGGGTCAAACTCCTGACCTGAAATCAGTGGGTAAATGTCAAAATCCCCATCCAAGGAGAGTCCACCCAGTCAATTTCCTGTGGGTACCTTGTCTCCCCCCCCTTATCCTGACAAACTATTGGTAGGTGCATTTATCTAGCAGTATCACTCACCAAAAGGAGGGGGAGGGGGGTTGAATGGGAGGGTCCTTTTAGAAGAGAGAAGAGGTCTGCTAGAGGTCTAGCAATTAGTGCCAGACCCCTGATAAGCATCTCCCCACTCCTCTCAAATCTTCCTTTGGGCAGAAAAACATGCTTCCTGCAGCACTGTTAATAAGGGCTTGCTCTCAGGCAAGCAAATGATGAGATTTTATTTGTTCTGCATATTTTTTTTTCTTATGTGATTGGGTATTTTTTGTTTTGTTTTATTCTTTGGGAAAGAAACAAGCAATTCAGGCAAGCAGTAAAGGAGCAAAAAAGACCAAAAACAAAAGTCAACTTCATGAACTGGTAACTGATTTGATTTTGTTTAGCATCACTGCACTCATGCTATGCACAAATAAAATTAGCCCCAAAAATGAAATAAACCTTTACACCCCAATATGTCAGTAAGCATATTCTCTATACAGTTTTTCATACATTTTTTTGAGGTGCTAATTAGGAGAATTTGTTGAACAATCAAGACTTTCTTTACTTGGAAATCATTCCTTAATTCTTGTGATCTTAACATGTGATTTGTGGGTGATATTATAAGGAGTAATTAGATAATAGACTCTCACAGAGGTGGTAAATTGTGAGCTCTGTTATTGAGAAGGCAAGATATTATTCATTGGTATAACCCTAAGTAAGAGATTATTACAAGCTGTAAACCTGAAGAGAAGAACTGTGGAAACATCATGACAACAGTTTCATCAAATCATTTTATCTGTATATAATTACTGCACTTGGTTTTTCCATTCAGTTCCATGTTACTGTCCTTTGTTTGAAAGTCTCACAATGAAGCACAGATCATACCTTCAAAAATACGTTTAGTTGTGGTGAGATAAATGAATGTTTAATTTCTTGCTGATATTATTGTCAGCATGATATACAACTAAATATCCATTCAGTGGACATGTTTTAGGGTACTAATTAAAGAACAAAAGCATTCTATTTTGATCATGCAAACCACTTTAAAAAAAGCTTTTGTTTAAGAATAACATTATTTTGAAATAATTGTTTTTTTTGGTGAGTTATCTTGAACTTCTTTGTAGTTTTATTCTATATTCATGTAAATGTAACAAAAACCTTTTACTGTGGTGCAAATGTTTTGTCTTCAGGATGTATTGTTTCTCAGAACAATAATTAAAATTATTGCTTACAGAGTGGAACCAATCTTTTTTAATCTATTTTTGGTAGCACTGGTACTGTGCGGCATTGAGGTGTATGTTATTTCAAAATATTTCAAAACTTCATTTCACAAAACAAGATACCAGTATGTCCATGTGTTCAAAAATTATAACAGCACAGCAATGGGCAAACTTATGTTACATGGTATGTGGAGAATTTCTAATATTCAGTAAAGATGTTTCCTTCAAAGAATTTTGCTGACCAAGCTGCCAAAGACTGGAACAGCCTTCTGATTGATTTGAAAGGAATAAAGTTTTTATCCATTTTTAAAGAAAAACTAAAAACTTTTTTAACGGGTTTAATTAATTTTAAGTAATTTCTTCTTTGATATTCAATTCATTTTTATTTTGAAAAAAATTTTCACTCTGTTTATGTATCAGGAATATATGTTACTTTTTATTCATATTTGTTTCATTTTATAACCAACAAGGCAATTAATTAGTCATGGAGTGCCCCACTGAAAAATGCCTCGGCAAGTTAGGTTCCCTCATTAAATTTCATAATTATGGTCATCATTATTACTACTTTCCTATTTCTGACTGTAAATATATTAAAATCATAGAATTATTTGAACTGCATTAAAGAAATGAATATGAAAGCAATCTTTACAGTTATAAATGCTACTTAGGTAATAGTGGAAATAAGGCCTGAAGAAAATTCACTGCACTGGTGTCACACAGGTCATGGGTTCACATCCTGTACAGTCCTGAATTTTTTTCAGGCCTTATTTTCACTACTACTTTTTAGTAGTGAAGATCACCTTCATTTACATTTCCTATTTCTGCTATATTGTGCTGTAAAATGTAGCTTGGAGTATGATGCAGATTACTCAGCTTTCCCTCATGCTGAAGGGTGTCATTTGGCACTTTCACAATACAAAGTAGAATCTCTATCAAACCTTGATTTGAAATAAGCTTTTTCTTAACCCTTTCAATCCCAAGATCTCTCTCTCTCCTTACTTTCTGCCACACACTGCTCATAGTTTTAGTTCTAAGAATTGATTCTTGGATCAAACATTTGGTTATCTCCTGAAGGATATTTTTCTATATTCTCATTACTTGTCTGCATGAAATTGTACTGGTGTTGTTAGGAGAAAGTATGTATTGGTCACTGCTGGGAGTGAATTGGTTAATAAGCAATTCTCTTTTTTTTCATATAGTGCACAGTAAATGGGATCAAATTTGAAAAGCTTCAGAAAGGAGCAGGAAAGAATGTTGCTAGCCTGGAGATGTTCTTCTCTGGATTTCCCAAGATTATTGGTATGGAGAACTTCCCAGATCTTCAAAATTTAACTCTGATGGGACAACAGATTACAATGCTGGAGAATCTGGACTGTTTGCCAAACCTTACAGAGTTATGTGTGTCTGAAAGCAAGATAACTGTAAGTACAAGTCAAGGTTGAATTCTCAAATATTTATGGGGAACTTAAGCAAACCATGCCTCTATTAAAAAAAAAAAAACATGAAATCGCCAAAATTTGCAAGGTCTAAGATTGGAAAATCCTAAAGCAAATTATTAAAGTTTCAAATTGGCAGGATTCAAACTTGTGCCTCCCAGAAACCACCAACTGAGCTATAAAGTCACACACTGAGAGGAAGGTACATTTAGGACAAACATCTTCGGTAGACACGATGTCTAAAGTTAAAATTCCTCCATTTTAGAAATTCCCCAATTTTTTTTTTTAGGTTAAGTGGTTGTTGGTATGGTTATTGTGAGAAATTTTGTGATTGGTAGATTTAGCTGAGTTGACTTAGAGTGATTGGTTGCTTCAACAGCCAACTGTCCAATTACAGCCAACTGTCTGATTACAGTCAACTGTCCAATTACAGCAACTGTCAGATTACACTGTCCAATTACAACTGTGCAGAATGACTTGTGAAAAAGAAAGCAGTTAACTCACTAATCACAAGTTAGGAAATTATAATTATGATACTGTTATGATTACTATGGATTTCTACTTTCCAGGCTATCTCTGGCCTTGATGGCTGTAAGAAGTTGAAAAAGCTGTTCTTATATGACAACAAGATTACAAAGATTGAGAATATTTCTCACCTGGAACAGCTGAATGTTTTATGGCTGAACAACAACAATATCATTGCAATTGAGGTATGAATTTAAGGGAGTTCTGTTATCTGAGGGACACATGAAAAGAGGCAATGCACGTATAGTCTCGCTTTTGAGTTGTGTTCGAGCTCAGAATTTTTTCTTTCTTCCATACACAATACAAACTCAAATTAACAGTTTTTTTCTTTACAGCATAGCATATAGTTATTTTACAGTCTCTGTCTCTATTATAAGTCTGACTGATGTGCATGTATTGGTCAGTTCTCTTTCAGTAAATATATGTTATATACCAGTGGAGGGAGTCCATAAAAAATTATGTGAAATAACTGGTCCTCAGGTCTTAAGTAAAGCCCAAGGCCAATTGCAGAGGGCTGTACTCAAGACCAAGGCATCAGTTTTATCCCAAACAGACTGACCTAGGCTAGTGGATAACTTATTAACCGCCACCTGGTTAGCTCAATTGGTAGAGCGCCAGTCTGTTGTGCGGGAGGTCGAGGGTTCGAGCCCCAGACCGGACCAACACTCAGGGTCTTAAAATAACTGAGGAGAATGTGCTGCCTTTGTAATTGTACCAGCAAATGGTTAGACATTCAAGTCTTCTCGGATAATAAACCGTAGGCCCCGTCTCCTGCATCTTCAGTGTTACATGGTCAGCAGGGGACGTTAAAGAACCCACACACTTGTCGAAAAGAGTAGGGGGCGTAGTTCCTGGTGTGGTGGTCTATCTGTTGTTTCATTGTACATTTCATGCATGGGCTGGGTGGGTGAGTGAGATCAAATATGGACTGATAGTGGCAGCCAGAGGCGCCTTTACAAGCTGACGTTCGATCTCACTCAATTAGAATTGTAAACTGCCTTGAGACAGTATGTGATATGTGCGGTATATAAATACACATTCATTCATTCATTCATTCATTTCTTCTGGTTTGCTCTTGCGGACCAAGGTTTAGCCAATCAGATTCAAGGATTTAAGATTCTGACCTGCTGTGATGCCTCAAAGAAAATAAGAAGTAACTGTGTTTTTTTGTTTAGGGCTTAGAGAAGCTTCTTTATCTCCTTGATCTGAACTTGGCAGGAAATAAGATTACAGAAATTGGTGAGCAGTAATTGAAATTTAATGTTTCTGCACAAATCAATCATTTTCTAGTTTTGACCTCCATGCCTTCTTATTCATGATGAGGAATTACGCTTTTCATGTACAGTAAATCGCATGAATAACATTTCGCTTTTCATGTACAGTAAATCGCATGAATAACATTCGCTTTTCATGTACAGTAAATTGCATGAATAACATTTCGCTTTTCATGTACAGTAAATTGCATGAATAACATTTCGCTTTTTATGTACAGTAAATTGCATGAATAACATTCTTTTCTTTACCCACAGGGAATTCTCTCAATGGAAACTTAAATCTAAAAACTTTGAATTTGTCAGCAAATTGCATTGCATCCTTAAAGGTAGGTGTGCCTGAGGGTAAAAATTTGTTGTGTTCTTCAACCCTTTAATTCTGGTCAGTGATCAAGACAGAATTTCTCTTTACAATATCAATACAAGATCAGGCAGACAATCAATGAGAATAAAGAGAAATATCAGTTACAGGATTATTAATTGATCCAATACCAAATTCTCAAAACTCACATAGTTAGAATTTTATTTTATTTCTGTAACATGCCCTTGGCCCTACTTAGTAGGGTCTGTTCCTTTGAAAAATGCAATACCAGCTGCACAAGCATAAATCAATTCAGCTGCTTACTCAGTTCAGATCAAACATCTAATACATTTTCTAATGACAACTCTGTATTATCAGATGGGAGTCAAAAAAACTGGGTCGATCAATTGCTGGCGCAGGGAATAAAAGCCTTTATGTGTATGTGCAATGGGTAGGAAGCTCTGAAGGTGTGGCAGAAGCAACTGAAGTTTTTTGTTGCATTACATGTTGTAGGATCTTACAAACTTGTCACAGCTGCCATGTTTGGAGTCTCTAAGTTTAAAAGACCCTGTGTACGGGCCAAACCCAGTGGCTTTGCTGTGCAACTACTCAACACATCTCTTGTTTCACCTGCCAAACCTGAAAAGAGTGGACTCCTACAATGTGGACGATAAAACACTGAAGGAACTGGCAGAGGTATGTGAACCAAGAGAACTGGTTTGACTTTATCCACGAAACTAACCCAAGCAGTTCTATGATCTTCACAACTGTTAAGTTGTCAAGTTCTACCAATACACAGTGTAACAACAAAAGCGTTATCTTTCTAACTCGAAATACTTTTATTTTTGAGAGCTACGGTAGTAGTAGGTTGAAACTAAAAATATACATCTGAGGTCAGTTAAGTAATGAAGATAAACAAACTACAAACAAAAAATGAATTCAAACAAAGCGAAACGGAAAAAATACTTGGATTGATAACGCTTACTATGTAACTGCAAAATAGAGAACTGCGCGAAGCGCGACTTTAGGTGAACTGACTTAAAAAATGATTAAGCGTAAAAGAAACTGGCTTTAAATACAAGAGGACTGCGAAATAGCGTGTGGTATGAGAAACGAGCAAAATGGTGTAACTGACGAAGAAAAACGCTGACAAACTTACCAAGAAAAAATTAGGAAAATATTTAGAGCTAAAGTATGAAAAAGTTAAGAGCTGAATAGGTAATTACAAATTACACGGAAATAATTGGCAAGCGCCTAGATCTTACATACAGGGTCCTGGAAAACCTGGAAAGCCCTGGAATTCTATTTTGAATATTTTGCAGTGACAGCATTCGCTGTTTAAGAAAAAAATTTCAGCTTTATGACAACATTATTTACATGCATATTATGTTAAGGCCCAACAGGCAGCTTTCAGCTCTTAAATTCTCTCTTCTTTTAGACCACAGTGGTTAAGAAGAAGATGTATTACAACATGCGCGTGAAGACGATGCAGAGAAACAAGGCTGACTTGCTTTTCAGACTGGAGACTGAGAGAGCAACTCTTCAGGCTGAACCCAGGAACAGAATGCTTAAACTCTTTTCAGCCGTCAAAGATGTATGTTTACAGCGATAAATAAGAAATTCGTAAAAATATTGTCATACTTTTATAGGAATGTGCAAGAGGCCATTTTACAGTTGTGTATTTAGTTGCCAAGCCTTTGATTTAGAGTGAGGCTGAAGGTGACTTTGTTGTGATAGAGACCAGTATCTAGTTAGCATGATAACAAAGTAAATTTGCATTTGAAAAGCAGCAAGGTTTGTATCATAACAAGGTCAACCTTAGCCTCACTCCTGTTCAAAGGCTTGGCAACCAAGCACGCAACTGTAAAATGGACTATTGAGTTTCCAAAGTAATCCAGGATTACTTTGTTTTTGATTTACTTCGCTCTGTGATTGGTCCAGAAAACTCGTGCCACGCTCTCAACCAATCAGATGCAAAACTAAAACCAATTACGACTTGGTCGCCCGCGTTTTCCCGCGCTTTTGGCAGTTTGCTTTTTACTTTGAGTTCTCATTGGCTCTTTAGGGTATTTTCCTTCTGATTGGCCGTTGTGATACGCTATCACATTCATCTTTAGAAGGCGACAGATTGTTTTAAGGATCGTTATTTCCCAATTTTTTTCCTTACAGATAGAGAGAGAGGTTGAGGAACAAAGAGAGGGATTGTCATCATCTTTTAAAGAAAACAAAAATCCCATAAGTCCTGTTGCAGGGGACGAGGGGAAGAAAGAAAACTTGGAAGAGAAAGAGACCCTAGCGACTGATACAATGATGTTCTTACAGACGCTGCAAAAGAAGAAGGAAGCACTGCTGAAAAGAATTTCGAAACTACAGAGACAGCGTGAAGAGTAAGAACTCTGTAAAAATGTTCGGTTCTTTTGTGTGCTCCTCGATCTAAATAATATTTCTCACAATATCACACAAAATCTCAATATTTCCACACAAGCTATATACTGAATAAATTTCATTTCAGTGGATAATGCAGTACGTTTTGTTAACACTTATCCGCTGGACAGCGATTTATCAGTTGAATGGCTTTCTCTGCATTTCAAACATCTGGAGCCCTGGAGATTTCTGCGGCATTATTGACACCGGATCTGTTTGTTTGTAGGTACAAGTCTTGCCATGATCTGGTTTTTTCAAGGTTCTGTGTTGGAGACTACTTGGTAAGAATTGATACTCGTTTATAATTAATATCGTTTAATTAAACGCTTCGTCAATGGTATCAGAGGCTAAGTGCCGTTCAAATAGCGACAGAGGAGGAGAACAATTTCTCAGAAACGAGGGAGTCACCATGGAAATCAAGCCACAGTTCACCTTTAAGCAGTAAGCAGCTGTCAACACAACACTGACAAACCGGGGGAGTGGTGGGGGAAAAAGGAATAAAGTGCGAAAAGCAAATTGAACACATAGCAAAAGCCGAACAAAAGCAAAACAAAGGGCACATAGCAAACTTCCCCCTCCCCCTACATCCCACCTCACCTCTGTGTGGCTTTATAAGTAAGCTGTATTGTAAAACTGGCCTCGTTGCCCTGGCAATTCAAGGAAATGCTCGTTCCCTTTCTTATGTATTAGATGACAATACAATGCATTTCGATGGAGTGTTGTAAAGGCAAAACCCAAGGTTAGCCCTACAGCCAATCGGAACAAACTCAAAGTAAAAACAAACGAACTGCCTAAAGCGCGGGAAAACGCGGGTGACCGAGTCGCGATTGGCGTTAGTTTTGGATCTGATTGGTGGAGAAAGTGGCGCGAGTTTTCTGGACCAATCACGTGGCAAAGTATAGCAGAATCAAAGGAATTCGTGATTTCTTTCGACAATTAAATTGTTAAAGGAAGCTCACTTGAGTTCTTGTTAAATTTCAGGGTTTGGGAATTTCTGGTATCAAGGTTCACAGGATCACGAGAATCCATAACAGAATCTTAAGAACGAGATTTGATGATAAACTTGATCTGATATTGGACCGGGATGATGTTTCGGAGCTAACCCAGTATGTACAAGTGAACACTTGAGGAGATGAGTTTTTTTGGTTTTGTTTCTGTGTATGGTATCAAATGCCACAATCTGATTTGTTTTACTGCAGGCTGGATACGTGTATCTCTTTCTGCGGTCACGGTAACGCTTTCGTGAGTTTTTGAACATGTGGTTGCAAAAATTGAAAGCAGTTATCTGTACAATTTGCAAGCAGGCTTTAGCTTTAGGACGTTTTTAAATCACCTGTCTTTTTCAAGAACTGTTTTTCAGGATTGCATTGGCGGGATCACGTTTCTCCACCCGTGGAAAGGTTCCTTACTTCCAGGAGTTTTCTTAGTGCACTGTAAACACGGTACAATAATGTTATGAGTTTGCATTAATATTTATGTTAATTTCTACGACGAACAACATTACTTCTGATATAAAAATGCAAATTTGAGTTCACTCTGACCCCCAACTAGCTATTGTTAGCCTTTCTATATTCCAGATTATCCTGACAAGCTCCGGGTTTACGCTCTGCCTTTGGTTTTAGTTATCAGGTTAAGGTTTTCTCAACAAGTGTCATTTTCTTGAAAGACCAAAACTGTTTGTCTGCATCTGCAAGCTGTCAAGTCAGAGAATCGCACAAATTAACTGACTTACCTGTTTTGTTTTATTTCGTTTTTTTGCTGTTTTCTGACTTAGTCGATGTTTTTCTTACAATTTATTGGCTAAATGGCATAACGACTTGTATAAATAAAGGTTGCTGATTTCTATTGACTAGTGATGTACCCCAGTTACACCCTCTCTTCAGCCTTCATTACATGTTCTTTCACAACATGCTTTCAGGCACTCAATGTACGCAGTGTTGCTGTGATTATGTGTAAAACGGTTTTATATCCTCTCTTTTGATTTCCATTTTAGGTATAACTTATGGATTTAATGTAATGCTTTGCAACGTCCCATCTCATTTACAGTGTTTCGAATGCGTTTCTCTCGAGGTAAGCTCGATTTAATGTGCATGTGTATGTTGTGGCCTTTGATTAGATGCCGTCGTGCGTTGAAGAAAATTTCTTTTTATTACCTGGGGTCGGTTTAAAGGACGAATAACGCCTTCCACTGGAAAAATCACCATCCAGTGGATAGCATTGTATGTTATCACAACACTTAAAGGCGAATAGTGATTCATTCTGTGGATAGTGTTATCCACCCGTTGAACAACCAGGGCCTGGTTTTTTAGGAGTTTTTCTTCTCTTGATTTCCTCTATCAAAGTGATTTTATATTAAACGAGTCATAATAAAAGTAGGTTCATTACAATTTTTCTGCCTTTTTTTTTGACAGGTGCCCGCCTGGTTGTCTACGACAACTCTTGCAATTTGCATTCGTATTGTTTAAATCGGGATCCTGTCTTTTTCAAGAACTCTCAGTTCCTTGTGGATCGATTGCATTGGCAGGATCATACAGGTACGTAAATCACCCCAAAACTGGCTTTTTCGGTTTGGCCATCTTTAATCTTCGGTGTTCATTTAGCTATGCTTCGGGTCTATCCCCTCCTACCAATCTAATGGCACATTACACACATTTATTGAAGCACAGTCGAAGTAATATTTTAATCTTAACTTTGTCAGTACCAATGCAAAGCAATCGAACATGTTTTTGTTTTCTTTTTCAGGTTGCTCTGATGCTTACAACCTCTCCCGTTATCCTCGGTGGAACACCTTAAACAGTCAGGCAGCAGAACAAGCCTATTCAAGCTTGAAGTCTTTCAAAGGATTCTTGTCATACATAAACGAAAAGAACTTCATGACTCATTGTATATTTTTCATTTGGTATCGAAATTCGCTACGGCGTAAGCAGCTCGAGTCCCAAGGTGTAGCAATGTAATTTGCGATAAGTTTTATGGGATGAATAATTAATTCGACTAATTTGAACAGATCGGCGGCCGCAGGGTAACGAATTTTCTCAAGTTTGTCGGTACATTTCAGGCTTTATCTTGAATGAAAATTGACTTTTATTTAAGTTTCTTTTAGTACCTATTTATTAACATCTTTGGTTATTAGCCTGGTAATACAGTGTGTATTTAAATTAATTTGAACAGGCCGGCCAATGCAAAACGGCCTGTCTTGTTTTATTTCGAACATTCCCGCCCTTTTCAATACCTTTCTCGTCTGCATCTTGAATGAGAATTAATCGTTTTGAAGTTTCTTTTAAGTTTGTTTCATTTGGCGACCGTTAATTGGGAATTTGAGGCTTCATCTCATAAAGTAATTGTTCTCTTGTTTTTGTTTATTTTCACATTTCGGCATTTTCTCGCGCAGCGTAGAAATGATTTGATTTCTTACAGTTTCAAGACTGGTTTCCACTCTCTGTTTTGCTTTGATTTTTCCGTGTTTTGTTTTTTGTTGTTGCCGTGAGCTAATTTTGGACATCTTGAGTTCATTTTATTTTACCAGGAATTTATCTTATTGCGTCTCAAGATCATTTGAGGTGCCGTGAGCAGATTTTGCTGTGTCATGAAAGTATTTAGTTTAACCGTAGGCGATTTTAATTCAACACCGATGATCCACTATAAACTGTACTTTTAATATTTTAGCCGCTTATTTACCAGAATGGAAAAAATATTCTTATGTAACTGTTAAGCTCCGCTTTGAGGCTTGCCTAAATTTATATATTAACAAGACTAAATGATAGAAAATAGTTTCTTGCCTTTTGTTTCCCTTTCTTATCAAGATATTAGTAACACTTGACTGACTACAAGGCTGTTCCATTGCAATGTAAACGATTCTCAAGTTTAACCATAAGCCGTGCCGTTCTAGAAACAATTTCAAATGCAATTATTCTGGGAGCATCACATCCATAAAGAGCCGGGTCTGTAGGTCTTTCGTAAGTGAAGCAATGATAGGCATTGTAACTGCTGTCATGCGCTCGGCCATAGTATCAATCTGTTTGTTTGAAAACGAAAGGATCATAATGTCAATAGGAACTAGATAAAAAACGCAAAGGTCGCTTTACTTTTTTGTTAGTTTTAAACACCCTGCATGTTGTGTACCATGATAGCCGAAAATCGCATTTTTTTTTTTTTTTTTTGCGTTATGCGGAATAATGGCATTTAAACAATCATATTTTAAAGAACACTGAAAAAACGAAATTAAGTCGCACAGCAACTTGTTCCTGCACACAATCAGTAATTGTCATGTCCTTCAATCGATTCTAAGTATCGCAATTCTTTTTGTTAAGATATTTTTAAATCTACAAATGGAATTACCGCGTGTCCTCCGAGGGTACAGTTGCTACCAACCTCATCAAGTCTCGGTGCGATAAAAGACGATGTTCGATGTTCAGTGGTAGCCATAATGAAGGTGTACTTTGGTTAATTACGAGTTCTGTTGTTAATGTCTGAAAATGAAAGGAAGCAATGGAAACTTTAACCCTTAATTTAGATTTCATAAAATCTTTATAATAAGTGTATCTTTAACGTACAAACCTTCAGATACGCCTTCGTTAGAAACCGTAGAATGCTACCTTAGTTTGAGTACACCGATCTACAAAATATAATAGATAAAATGAACAGTACGCTACGTTTAAAAACATTATAAACGAGCCAAAACAAAAAAGCAGCAGAGAAAGTACAGTGGAATCAAGATTTTATGGAACATTCAAGATAAACAAAACTTTGTTCAAATAATAAGGTAGCTTTAGGAATCGGGGTAAAGTTACAGTGTTCGACTGAGGGAAGGGAAACAGAATTTCAAGGGTTCGAGTTATCAAGAGGTTCGAAAAATAGGGATTCCACTGTACACTCACATGTCGTGGCTCCGATATGGGTGGGGCAACGTGCAGCCACAATCCACTATAGTGAGATCCTTGGCCTCTTCGAAAGAAATGCCCAAACAAACGCAGTGGTACCACTCAAAGCAGGTAAGGCACTGCACCATCTCATTGCGACTTGAATGTTGGGTGTTAAATCCTCGCCAAAACACGCACAAGAAAGCATCTAATGCACCACACTTCCATGGCAGAAGGGGGCATATATGGTTGAAGGTGTTTCCTTGTCCTGTAAGTGGCAGCCAGATGATGTGAAAAGGCCCCTCTTCCCTGTCTGGCTGGAAGCAACAAGGAGGACTTTGTTTTGTGTTGTACCATACAGCCCCAGACAGTTCGCAGTGCTGTTGTATTGCTTTCTTTAAAAAGCCGGCAGCAAAGGTTACCTGCAAGATTTAAAAAAAAAAAAAAACTGCGGATGTCAGTATTGTAATGCCAACTTGCGTGGAGAAACGAGCTGATACCTGGTTGTAATGAGATGATAAAGATGTGGAATTGATTCAAAAGAATGAGAGCCAATCCTTAAAACGAACAAGTCACAAGTTAGTTACCTATATCAGTAAAATTCTTTAAGGCATTGAAGACTTGCCTTTAGACACTTTTTGCGACAATTTCTTGAATGGATTTGTCTTTAATTTCCTGAACCTCGTTTGGTGAAAGGCTCACACTGGCTGCCCACTGCAAAGCATCACCTCTATCAGTAAAATGCGTCGCATTCTGTAAAAAGAAATATGACAGAAGTACAAAGTAACTCGTTTTAAAGTTACTTTGCGAATGGAATAAAATTTTTCGAAATGCAGTTTAGTTACTTCTACAGAGAGGGTAATAAGTAACTACAGGAAAGGTTAAAACGTCACTGAGATGGCTACTACAGATATTAGTTTATTGGACAGTTGTCAAATATGATTGAAAAACGTGAGCACAAAAAATCATTGTGTAATTATCAAAAGTGATCAAAGGATTTTTGGTTTTTTATATTGCTTGCTAAGTAATCCAAGAATATCAAAGTAGCAAATTTCTCTAACAGCTGGATTAACATATTTCTGTATAACAAGCAACCACATAAACAAGCACCTAAAGAAAGAACTAAGAAATGAATTTTCAAAGATTAATTTAAGATTGATTTATTATGCCTCAGTCTCAGCTTTGAAAAGGAGATCCAGAGGTTGACCTCTGTTAAAGTTCACTTAAAACATAAAACAAGGACATTAAAATTGTACACTAATAAGCTTAGCAAACATAACAAAAAATAACTGATTGTTCTTACTGCATCAACAATGTGGTCATAGTGAGCAAGACCATACATTGCTGCACCCAGTCTAAAAATTTCAATGTCACTTTCATGTCCAGACATGAGTATGGATAGTGAATTATAGAAGCAGTTTCCATCCCCACTTGAGTAGAATGGCTCCAGACCAAGCTCATAAATGGACTGGTCAACATAGCTGGAAAATCTCTAAAAGCAATAGAATATGAAGTTAATAACAACCAATACAATAAAATTTATAAATGAAAATAATGATAATAGTAACAATAATAATGATGATGATAATTGTCCCAAGTTAATAACTTTTACTGAACTTTTTACCCCTCAGGAAGTCTGCACTGATTCTTGCTGCTGATAAACTGACATGGAGAGATCTTTGGGAGATGTTCCAGGCTGTGAGGAGATAAACTTAAGTTCACCTCCCAAGGCAATCTGACCATGCATCCTAAAATGTCCCTTGCAATTTGGGGCTTTATGATTGTATGGATTTCAGTCTAGGAAAGGAAAAAACACCTTGCATTAATAGGTAAATCACAAATTGGTAAACAAAATAACATTCATATTTATAGTCAAAGGCTGTTAATTAACTCTCATGAATGTTTTCCCTCATGATGGATTCCTCATTAAATGCCCCAACCCTAATCATTAAGTTGAAAAAAAAACTTTTTGAACATCACACTAAAGAGCTGGAATTGGCCTGGCATTAGTGGACCCTTAAACAAACAATATCCACCTTTTGGAGTTAGTAGGACCAAACTGCTTGGACATAGCCCCCTTCCCAAGTTTCTAGCTAAACAACTGGTGTTAAAACTTTAGCTGACAGCTGATGAAATGACATAGAGAATGTTTAGGAATGGTAAATTCAAAACAAAATACTTGCATCCTAGACTAGATTAAATTGTGAAATAAATAAATAAAATAGTATGTTTGTTTATTTGTTTGCCACACATACATGCACAAAAAAGTAATGAACAAAAAATGAAGTTTAATTAATAACAGGAAGCTTACGTCTTCATCCAGTTTTCCTAGAATACTCAGCATCTTTGATGTTTGGATCTGATTCAGTTCACTGCAGGTTTGCAGTACAGATTGCCATGTATTACCACAGTAAACTGATTCACTCCCAAATTTCCTCTTTACAATGTCCTCAAATACAAGAGGAGGTTGAATGTGACCTTCAGATGTTGCAAAGGGAAGATCACAAATAGAAGCAGTGACAGCAGGTGTTGATGAAGGAGCAGGAGGGCAAATGGGGCTTGCAAAAACTTCAGGGGCAGATGAGGGAGGATCAGAAATAAAAGCAGAAGCTGGTGTTGATGATACAGGAATGGGAATCACAGGACTGTGAGCAGAATCATCTACTGTGATGTCAACCTCTTGAGGCTGCTGTTGTTGATTCCAATTTCTGTATGAATGCATGATTGAAATTAAATCCTCCAGATGTGGTCGCTTGCTGCTATTATTCACAGCTGTGAACTCAACTTCTTCAGGCCACCAAACTGATCTGCATGCTTCTTTCCCCATCCAGGCTCAGATCTCCCTACATGAAAATACACCATATAAATTCTGCAAATCTACGGGAAAATTGACAGTGGGTGCTTAAATTTTTACATTTAACAACTGCATTGCTATTCAATTTAGCACTTTAAAGAAACAAAATTGTGGGTTGTATGATTAGAATAGACAAATTGCATAGCCTTTTAAGTACATCACCCCCAAACTGTTTGCATTTGTGAAAAACAAACTGTTTATCCAGTTTGCTTTCTTAAATTTCTTTACCATCTTTTTTGACTGCCCTAACAACCATTTTCCTCAGATCTACCACTCGAAATTGCACAGGGTCTTCTGATGGTATAAATACCACGCGATCACGATTCTCTGGGAAAGTCTGATATGCTCATTGCAAGAAAATAAAAGAGCAATGGAAGAATGAATGCCAGCGCCGAGAAATATACTTGCTGCTTTTTACAAAATATACTAAAATCAGAACAGTACCGCGTTTCTTCCCGCCATGATGAATGGGCCATTACAATATGTTGTGTATGTGTCATAAAGTGTACCAGCAGCTGGTGGTAATTTTCGTGGTTACGAGCAGTTGTGTTACCGAATACCTCCATTAACGGGTCATAAGTGCGATGGTACAAACATGGCCACCGAGTCGGGCGCTAGACATAGAGATAATCAAAATGTCTTTCGTATTACCGACGTAAAAAAAAGAAAGAAATTGTTGGGTAAGGTTCTAAAAATTCCAGAATTTAACGAAGAAGATGATTGGAGGCTCGGGATACTTCTTGATATTCACTAGGAGATATTCACTTTATTTGTAAACAGTGGATTTCCATGGAGTGACTCTACTGTGGGAGGTATTTCAAAATTTATGAAACGAAGTACAAGGTGAGCTATTACCCTGATTGGATGTAGATCAAGATATATACATACTCAAATTTGTTGAAAGGAACCATTAAGAAGATACATATACCCATGTAATCAATACAAGTTTCATTTAACATTTATGCTAACTTTCAACTCGTCCATCGATGAGTGTTGTCGCTGCTGGTGTTATGTGCTACCTAACTATGGATAAAAGGCTGGTTGAGGTATTAAAAACCATTACCTTAGCCACATATCAGCCTTTCCTTTTTTGATCGTGATTGACTTTGTGTACAGTTATCCCACACTGTCCAAAATCATTCATTGTTTAGTGGTGTCTTTGACATGTACAAAATTTAACGAACAAAATTCAGGACTTCTCGTATACAGAACAAATGGTTTGGTCCTATGCAAGAAAAATGTAACCAAAATCTTATGGCTGAAAAAATTATGTAGTCGAATGCTGTGGAAAACAGAAAGCAAAGTTCTTGTATGACCTAAGATCTTGTTCAAATGCTTACTGTTTTGCTTGTGAAAGATCTGGATCAGCAAAATTGGAGATTCAATCTATAGAACTGGACTTGAAGGTAGTCAGTTTCTTAAATTTTTATACTGACCTAAATTTAGTATTTGTTGAGTCATTTGTGCATTTCATTTGGAGCAATATTGGACAAAAATCTCCCTTTTTATTCCAAGACTTATGCAAAAGTCACTGATTGGCCAAAACCTTCTTGTATACTTTTCCAGAAAGTGAAATCTCATGACTGGTATTGTGTTGCACTAAAGTTTGTCTTTTTGCTGTTGAATGACAATAAGGTGCTTTTCTTTTTGATGAGATGTTATTTAACCCTTAAACTGACTCTCAGATCAAATTTGTAATTCTCCTTTCTGTCAGCCATACAATTCTTATCATGTTAACTCAGATAATTTAGTATTGAATCAACTAATTATTCCCAAATTGATATTTTTCTTAATTGTCTTCACTTACCTGGTTGATATTGTATTCATATTGTAAGGAGAAATTCTGTCTTGGTCACTCATGGGAGTTAAAGGGTTAAAGAGACATAAGGTGTAGAAATTGATTACAATTAGTCAACCAGAGCTTTCAAGTCCATTTGCTGGCAAAGAGTGAGATCTCATGGGCATCATCTATCAAGGGTGGGAGGGGGAAGAGGGTATGGGGGCATGTTCCCACAGAAAATTGTGAAAAAAATGAAATAGCTGAGATGTGCATTCCTTTAATCTGAGAGAAAATTCTGTGGTTAAAAAGTGTGTGACATGAGTGCATAAGAAACAACTGAAGGAGTAAATTATATTTGGAAGGATAATTAATTTTGTAGATACTTAATGAAAGTACCTACAAGCAGTTTGCTATCGCAAGTTCAACCAAATTGATACGAAACCTTAAAGGGGTGAGAAATACTGGCTTTAGCATGAGAGTGTAAGATTGAATTTGTTTGCATGAGTCTCTCACTCAATGCATGAGACTTGAGAGCTTTAAATCAACTCAACACATTTTGCATACTACAGCAATTTTTGCTGTTGTTTCTTTTATTTACCCAGTAATTTACAAGGAATTCTTCAATTGATGCCATTTATTTATTAATGGTACTGTAAATTTTTAGTGGGTAGGGAGGTTCAATTTAATGTGCATGTGTATGTTGTGACCTTTAATTAGATGCCATTGTGTATGAAGAAAATTTCTTTTTTTTACCTGGGCCTGGTTTAAAGGATGAATAACACTATCCACTGGAAAAATCCAGTGGATAGTGTTGTATGTTATCACAACACTTAAAGGCGAATAGTGATTCATTCTGTGGATAGTGTTATCCACCCGCTGAACAACCGCAGCCTGGTTTTTGGGATTTTTTTCTTCTCTTGATTTCCTCTATCAGAGTGATTTTATATTAAACAAGTTGTAATAAATGTAAGTTCGTTACATTTTTTCTACCCTTTTTTCGACAGGTCCCCGCCTGATTGTCTATGATGATGCTTGCAATTTGCATTCATATTGTTTAAATCGGGATCCTGTTTTTTTCAAGAACTCTCAGTTCCTTGTGGATTGATTGTGTTGGCAGGATCATACAGGTATGTAAATCACCCCAAAACTGACTTTTTCAGTTTGGTCATCTTTAATCTTTGGTGTTCATTTAGCTATGCTCTTGGGTCTATCCCCTCCTACTAACCTAATGGAAAAGTGTGTGACATGAGTGCATAAGAAACAACTGAAGGAGTAAATTATATTTAGAAGGATAATTAATTTTGTAGGTACTTAATGAAAACAGCAGTTTGCTCTCGCAAACTCAACCAAATAAATACAAAACCTTAAAGGGTGGAGACATACTGGTATTAGCATGAGAGTGTAAGATTGAATTTGTTTGTGTGAGTCTCATGCTCAATGCATGAGACTTGAGAGCTTTAAATCAACTCAACACATTTTGCATACTATAGCAATTTTTGCTGTTGTTTCCTTTATTTACCCAGTAATTTACAAGGACTTCTTCCATTAATAAATTTATTTATTGATGGTACTGTAAATTTTTAGTGGGTTGGGAGGTTCATTGTAAAAGGAAATGACAGGATGGGGGCTGGAAGAATAAAATAACATTTCAATATTCCAAAAAGAAAAACATTTCCAAACTTGAATGTGTCTGTTCTATCTTTAGAATAATGTTCACCAACCAAGTGTCAAGCATGAAAGTAAAATCAAAAAGTGGAATTTAATACAATTAAAATAGATGAACTGTATTTTCAAGGGGTTTAAAAACAAAGAGACAATTGTAATGCTGTAATCAATGCTGTCTCCACTGCCTTTGGTGTAAACTTCACCAATAACTTTTTTTTTTTGATAAGGAAAACCCCTTGAGGAGGCTATAACACTGTTTTAAAAAGCAGCTCAACAGAATTGCCCATTACTCCTGCAAAAACAACCTCAAGTCTTTAAAGCCATCCAGAAGTACTGGTTATTAACCCTTTAACTCTCAGATCAAATTGGTAATTCTCCTTAATCTTAACCATACAGTTCTTATAATGTTAGTTCAGAGAATTTAGTATTGGATCAAATAATTGTTCTCAAATTGACATTTTTCTTTATTCTCATCACTTATGTGGTTGATATTGTATTGATTTTGTAAGGAGAAATTCTGTCTTGGTTACTCATGGGAGTTAAAGAAGATGCATTTTCCTCTAATGTTTTGTAAAATGTTCCTCTTTATTGGAGCAATTAGTGCTACAAAAGAAAACATAGTTAAGCACATCTATTTCATCATGAAATGGCTGATCATTATACAGTTGAACCTGTATTAAGCTGCACCATATTAAACAGTTACCCTGTAATAAAGCAGTCACTTCTCAGTTTTTCTCTCATTTATTAAAACTGTAATTTTCACCTCTATTAAGTGGTCATGGTCATCCTTGATTGAGTCCCAGCTTCCTGTTTTTATTGTTTTCTACTTGCATGTGTTGAACAATCACTTAAGCAGAACCTCTCAAATAAAACTAGGAATAGTACTTTGAGTTCAAAGGTGCACAACTTATTGCAAATTATCTAATTCTGTTGGGACAAATATTATGCACAAACATTACACAAGTCAATCAGCCTATGATTATGACCTAGAGGTCCAACTGATAGATAATAGTATACAGTTATTGGATCAGTATCAGTATCTGGGTAACTGCCCACCTACCCCTCCCCTAACCCAACATTAACCTTAACTTGTTGTTAATTGACTGTTGTTGAGCTAGGGGAGGGGTAGGTGAGCAGTTGCCCAGATACTGATATTGATCCCAGTAATTCTGCATCAGTTTTCTTTTTTTATGTTGTGTCACCATTTTGTTGATTCTTTTTACTGGTATTAACAAAGAAGCAATGGATTTCTTAGCAAGCTTTGGAATAACCTATAAATTAAGTGATCAATTATGGCATAAAATAGGGCTTTTTAATGCATTTGACTCCTGTTCTGTACAAACTGTTTAAGTGGTCTCCTTGCAATTCCCTGTGGGTGACTGCTCAATACAGGTTTGACTTTATATGTTTGTAGCTTTCTCTTCATCAATCACTGTTACTCAACACTGATACTGTTCTCTTTTCTATGTAGGAAAGAACAACATATCACGAAAATGAAATCCGACAAGCTGTCCAGCAACTGGAGCAGCAGTTTTTGGAGTTTGACTCATCACCAGAAAACTTATCAGCAGAAAATTTAGCCACAATTGTGGCTAATGTTATTGCTAAAAAGGCTGCTGTGACAAGTGCCACTATCAGTTATAAAATGGAAGAAATACACGATTCTTCAAAATTCAAGTACAAACAGGTCAATGTTAGTCTAGAGAATGATGAAGGAGTAAAAAATCTGCAGCTTCCAGTCATTGTTCCAAAGGAAATTCTGGAAAGTAGTGATCTTGTTGCACAAGTATACTTTTCAGTTGTAAATGTACTTTGGTATAATTTTTTAACATTCAGACAAGTTTTTTTAGGGAGTATTTCCCATCATTATTTACACCCAGTGGAAACTGGGTGTAGCCCTGCTCTGCATAGGTGTCTCTGTTGATGAGATTTTCACTCCCAAGATCTCAGTAGTGATTCTCCTTACTGTCTGCCATACAAGTTTTATGATGTTAGCTGAAAGAATTTGGTATTGGATCAACTAATATTGCCCTAATGGATGTTTTTTTTATTCTCATCACTTGTCTGCTTGATACTGTATTGATATTGTAAGGGGAAATTCTGTCTTTGTCAGTAATGAGAGTTAGAGGGTTTTAAAAGAGACTAAAAGATTTGTTCAATAAAAGTGTTTGGACACAAATTCTAATCACCTGCTTTTTCAAAAAAGTTTGTACAGATCAAAAGCATTCTTTCAAAAATGTGGAAAGTTAAATTTTAATTCTAAAATCTACAAAAATCATGGAATGTGAAGTTGTTGGGAAAAAAAAAACCAGAGGAAGTCTCATTTGTCATGTTTTTTTGTAGCTGCAACAAGTGGAAATCTTTGTGAGGTTTCCTTGTCTCCTCTCCCCATTCTTTTTGCCTGTGGGATTTATTTCTTATCTCTGATTTATTTTCTGTTATTTGTGTGTGCTGAGTTCCACTGATTTCATGAATCTTACTTTAAAAAAGGTTAACAGGTGTCCTTAAACTGGCCAGGAACCTTCTCAAGGATATATGGTACATTGATTACATGTGACTACACTTCCTTAGATATTTTACTGTTGTTTCAAGGCATGGGTTGAAAGAAGGAGGGGAAAATCATTCAATTTGAGATAGGGTATGGGTTTTTTTTTAAGGGTTGCCTCATACCCTCACCTTGAGGCAGTCTCTTTGGTAAATTGGTAAATGCGGACTGATATTGAAAAGGCCACACCCCTTCGCCATAGCTTTCAAGTTGTGTCTAACAATTGAGGCCAAATGTATCTCAACACAAAGTTGAATTCGGTTTACAAAATTTATTGTACAGTCTTGACAAATTTGGAAGTCTGGCTCCATTTGTTAACCCTCTAACTCCCAAATCAAATTTGTAATTCTCCTAAATGTCAACCATACAATTCCTATAATGTTAGTTGAGAGAAATTAGTATTGGATCAACTTATCCCCAAATTGATATTTTTCTGTATTCTCATCACTTATGTAGTGGACATTGTATTGATGTTTCCTGGACCTTCTTGACATAAGCTATGAAGAAGGTTTTTGTTGTGCCATCTGTGGCAAAGATAACAGTCTGGACACTGTCATTTGTGATGCTACAGCACTATCTTTCAGACAAGAGCTTTCTACTTCAATGAAGTGTAGTTATTCATCTCTGAGTCCATGCACTGAACCACAAGAAACAGGAAGATAAGTTGCTATTTATGCTTCTGAATTTTTTTTCATATTTTATGCATCATTTATCCTATTATTTTGGTTCCCAGTATGATTCAAGGAGTTCATGATATAATATATTAATCTAGCTGTTGATGTGGAGACTATGACTTGATTCAGTTTGATTACTGATTAATATAATAATTTCAAATATTTTTAATCCTTCACCTTGGGCTGGCACCTTGTCGTGGTGGTGAAGCTTGTGTGTCTCATTGACCCTGCAAAGACCTTGGAATAAGGTCTTCTTTTTCTGGATCAGTTGAGGGGTTGAGACCAGACTAAGACCAGCTCCAGTTCCTCCTACATTCCACTGGGATAGGCTTTTAATGTGTCTAAATATCACTTGTTTTTATTTGCCTTATTTGAAGAGATCTGCATTTAGGCTAATTATTTAATAGTTTATGACATCACTAGGCATCGTGACAGGGTTTACCTTGCTGAAAAACATATCAGGCAGATGGTGGATCAAGTAGGCCTTGATGTTAGCAAGGTTGCATTACAGACACAGTAATGACCTCTTTACACCTGGAGTTGCAGCGTTGTGCACCTGCCTTAGGTAGTTTTTTTTCCTGGTGCATTTCGTTCTATGGATCTGATGTCTCTTTTCCAACACCTATTGCTGGACTTTTCAATGCATAAGGAAAAGCTTCCCCGGTGTGTGCACTTCTCCCCCAATTGGACTCCTTGGAAACATTTTACCACAGACTCATTGGCAATGAACCAGTCAAGCAGTGTCCTGAAGACATGCTTCTACTCCAGCAAACTTTTCCACTCCTGTTTGACATAGTTAGCATTGTGGAGGGAGATCAGCTTCCTGAGGCCTTGACTGCATTTATTATTGACCTGTTGGAAAAAGTAAAGTCTCTGTTTGGCAGAAATGGATCAATACCAGATGCTGTGCAACTGGATGTACACCACACAAATAATGTAGAATACTATCCTTGCCTGCCTGTGGTAAGAAGTTGTGGCAACTATTGCCTGGATGAAACAACTCCAAACATCTGCACAAAGAGGAGTACTCGACACCCATCCTTACTTCCTGGAGTTTTCTTAGTGCACTGTAAACAAGGTACAATAATGTTATGAGTTTGTATTATTATTTTATTAATTTCTACGATGAACAATATTACTTCTGATATAAAAATTGTAAATTTCAGTTCACTCTGACCCCCAACTAGCTATTGTTACCCTTTGTATATTCCAGATTATCCTGACAAGCTCCGGGTTTACACTCTGCCTGTGGTTTTAGTTATCAGGTGTAGGTTTTTCTCAACAAATGTCATTTTCTTGAAAGACCAAAACTGTTTGTAATGCTTAGTTTTGAAAAGGATAACATCTGCAGCTGTCAAGTCAAAGAATCGCACAAATTAACTGACTTACCTGTTTTGTTTTGTTTTGTTTTTTGAAGTTTTTCTTACAATTTATTGGCTAAATGGCATAACGACTTGTATAAATAAAGGTTGTTGATTTCTATTGTCTAGTGATGTACCCCAGTTACACCCTCTCTTCAGCCTTCATTACGTGTTCTTTCACAACATCTACACAATGTTGCAGTGATTATGTGTAAAACAGTTTTATATCCTCTCTTTTGATTTCCATTTTAGGTGTAACTCATGGATTTCCTGCAATGCTCTGTAACAAATCTCCTAACATCCCATTTACAGTGTTTCGAATGCGTTTCTCACAAGGTAAGCTCAATTTAATGTGCATGTGTATGTTGTGGCCTTTGATTGGATGCCGTTGTGCATGAAGAAAATTTCTTTTTATTACCTGGGCCCGGTTTAAAGGATGAATAATGCTATCCACTGGAAAAATCACTATCCAGTGGATAGTGTTGTATGTTATCAAAACACTTATAGGTGAATGGGGATTCATTCTGTGGATAGCATTGTGTTGCACTGTGGTTTGTCTTTTTGCTGTTGAATGATAATAAGGCGCTTTAACTCACAGATCAAATTTGTTATTCTCCTTTCTGTCCACCATACAATTCTTATCGTGTTAGTTCAGAGAATTTAGTATTAAATCAACTAATTATCCCCAAATTAATATTTTGCTTAATTCTCATCACTTATCTGGTTGATATTGTATTGATATTGTAAGGAGAAATTCTGTCTTGGTCACTCATGGGAGTTAAAGGGTTATGGAGGTTCAGTGTAAAAGGAAATGACAGGATGGGGGTTGGAAGAATAAAATAACATTTCAATATTTCAATAAGAAAAAAAATTCTAAACTTGAATGTGTCTGTTCTATCTTTAGAATAATGTCCACCAACCAAGTGTCAAGCACGAAAGCAAAATCAAAAAGTGGAATTTAATACTTTTAAAATAGAGGAACTGTATTTTCAAGGGGTTTTTTTTTTTTTAAGTAGAAAGGGGACTAGAAGAAAGACAAATATCAACTTTAGGGTATTGCTTGATTTAAAACCAAATTCTCAGAGCTAAAATCAGCTCAGATGTAGGGCAGATAGTTGGGAGAATTGATAATTTATATCGTCAGAGAGATATGGTGAACAGTTGATTTGATCGGATGATAGGACAAACACAAGGTTCCTGGGTCTTCAAACAAATTGGATCCTTGTGAGAAGTTGGAGGTCCAAATCACTCGCCAAGTTCAATAGGAGGAACATTGCTCTGGGTAGAATTAAACACCCTTTACACCCTAACATCAGTATGCATATTCTCCATACTGTTCTCTATACATTTCTTAAGGTGCTAACAAGGAGAATTTGTTTAACAATCGAAGCTTCTTTGGTTGGTGATCATTTTCTTTATTCTCTTCATCTTAACAGATGATTGCGCAGTATTTTTGCAAGGAGAAATTAGATGCTAGTCACTCTTACAGTTTAACCTTTAAAGACCAAGACAGAAATTCTCCTTACAATAGAGAATTTGTTTAAAAATTGAAGCTTCTTTGGATGGTGATCATTTTCTTAATTCTCATGATCTTGATGGATGATTCACCAGTATTACTCTAAGGAGAAATTAGATGCTGGTCACTCTTCTGGTTTTAAAGCATCAACGGGAACTGTTGTAGGGACTTGTCTCACTGGGAGTGCCAATTTAAACTGGGATAATTTGTTCCCCTCAGATTATAGAAGAATTTTTAACTTACCAAGTACTGTAAAACAACTGTCTATGGAGTTATGTGTTTACTCCTCAACTAAAACTTCTCTTTTTCACTCTGTGTAGAATTCTTAATCAATAGTGGGGCCACTTTTATAGGGAGTTGCCATATGTGTGGTGTTTAACGTTCACAGTTGTTGTACTTCATTTTACTCTGAAATATTTTTATTGGTTTTTATGTAAAATTAAAGAAGCAATGATCATACAAACAATTGTGCATTTGTTGGTAAGGCAATGGGTAATACTAAATCTCATAAGGCCAGCCAATCAAAACAAAACAGGAAATGAGAATACTCAAACTTATCAGGTAGAATTTGTTATCTTGATCTAACACCAAATTCTCATAACTTCTTTACAAGGATATGTGTCTAACAATTGAGGCCAAATGTATCTCAACAAAGTTGAATTTGGTTAACAAAATTTATTATGAAAAAAATAAATATGTACATAAATTACATTAATATTTACAACAAATGCAGAAACCTCCCTGAGTCAAATTGTTTAAATGTTATGTAAATCTTGCACCAAAAACCTACAAAAAGGCCTTGCTTAGGGTCTGTCTGAAAGCAATGTGATCTGATTTATAATGTGGTTTCATATCTTTTTTTGATATTTTGCCAGAAAAGCGAAACTACTTGAACCGGTTCGCTTTAATCAAAAAAAAAAAAATTATAGAAAACACGAGAAATGAAAAAAAGGAAACCTGGTATACTACCAGGTAAACTGTAGTGTATTCACTAATCTAATCCGCTTAAAATCTCACAAAACTCTCAAGCGATCAAAACATACAGAAGCATGAAGAGAATTTAGGATCGAAACTAACCAATCATGAAATGAAAAAGTTTCCTGAGAGGTCCGAGGTTTGATTGTTTTCTCTGCGGGAAGCTTTGTGTTTTTTACTTCAATGTTATTGGTTTGTTTTTAAAAAAAAAAGATTGACATCGTTTGTTCTCAATAAACATGTTCATTGGTTCATTTTTCTTCATTTCGATCCGGTTCAAATAATCTCGCTGCTCTGAGCGCTTCACAGAGTAAGTTTGCTTTCATTCACGATTTGAGTTGTTGGGCTGTAATTATCACTGAGCTGGTTACCTCACAGTTATTTTGAATAGTAAGTGGTTCTAATAATTTCTTTTTAGTTTTTAATTGGAATTGCTGAGGCCTAAATTATTAGCTCACACTTAGACTGACTATTGCTTAGTAAATTACGTGCCTTTTGCTCACCTGCTTCTGTGATGTTATTTGCGTAGAGGTTTAACGTGCGTAGCTGACAGTTGTTGTTGTTGATGGCTTCAGCCAAGTGCTGTGCTCCAATGTCTGAGATTTTATTTGCTGAGAGGTTTAACTTGCGTAGCTGACAGTTGTTGTTGTTGATGGCTTCAGCTAAATACTTTGCTGCTTCATCTGTCAATTGATTAAATGTGAGGTTTAACCAGCTCAGTTGAGATTCCCTACATTTTAACAATTTACAAATCTCCAAACAACCTAATGGACCAATGTTATTGTCCTCAAATCTAAATGTGAAATTTGTTGAACATTAATTACATTTACTAACGAAGAGCAATCAACAGCTGTGAGGTGACAACGAATAAAATTTACACAATTAAAGTTAATTTGTTGAAGTTTTCTCTGTGCTTCTGACTTCATTCTACTATTTTCGTTTAAACATTTCATTAATGTCACTGCTAAATATTGTTCGTCTCAGTCGGCCAGCAGGTCACTTTCGTTTTCTCTTTATTCTCTGGCCACTGTACGTTGTAGAGTTCGTCTTCTTCTTCTTCAGTTTTCACAGGAAGAAGGTCTGTGATAATTTCGCTTGGTAGGGTTTTTTTATTCTCCATTAATCCTGCTACAAACTGAAAAACCAGCTGCCATTTGCCTTCCTTAATGTTCTTAGAAGCAAAGTTCCTTAGTTTTTTTTTACTCATGTTGTTAACAAGGTACTTCGCGGCGAAAAACTCCTGCATTGTGAGATGAATAAAACAGAACTGTCCTTCGCTACTAAACGAGTCAACTTCACGGTCGGGTAAGCGGTGAAATAGAGCGCTGTCCTCCATTCCGCGTACTTCGTTTGCTCCAAAGATCAGCCTTCCTTCTTTAATTCCTTCAAATGCCAATTTTTCTAGTTTCTCCAATTTTTTTTCTTCTTCGCGGGGCAATTCATCTGATTCAAAGTCTTCGCGAGTGAAATGTTTATCGCGAAATTCTTCGTTGTGTCTCAAGTAGAAAATTTTCACGGCTCTCTTGTATATGCCTGTTAAACTTGTTGGTAGGTTAAGACCTCTAGGAGTATAGAACTTCACCATTTTAAAGAGACTTGAGCAAATGATGAAGCAACTCGCAGGAATGTAACAAAGAGATAAGATATTGATGTTGCTGGTGATGTGACGCTTTACTGTGTCGCCTGCTTCCTTGTCTTCTTCAGCAAATTTGGTTACGTATTCTTCGACTTGTTCGGATGAGAAGCCAAGGATCTCAAATATTTTGTCAAAACGAATACTTTCGGTGCATGACAGAGCTGTAGGTCTTGTTGTAGTTAAAACTGCCGCCCCTTTGAGAAGTTTTCCGGTCGTTAGTTTGGCATAAAGCGCCGAGAGGGGCATCTTCTCGTCTACGCTGTTTTTGAATTGAGGTTTCTCATTTTCCGTGCCGATCTTTGAGTTATCTTTGAATTCATCAATTCCATCGAAAATAAGGAGAACTTTCTGCGGGTTTTCTAGGATGTAATTCCAGACTTCCTCATCCAGCTTGTTCCTGGGTGAGTATGTGGAGCGGGTCAGTAGCTCCCGAAGGCTAAGGTCGGTTGCAGCGTTGAATGTTCTAAATTTGACGAAGAAAGCAGCATCAAAGTGGATTTTGTTATCGGGTGTTTTATGGAATACTTTGTTAGATGCCCAGTCTCTGAGAATTTTTGTACAACAAAGAGTCTTTCCGATTCCGGGACGACCGACGATCAAAATGTTTTTGTTTTCGTGATTAAGAATGTCCTCTGGCCCTCTCGGTGTTTCGTTTTTCACACCCGACCTGGCGTAGATTTCCAAATTCTTCCGTCTGTCTTCAGTAAAGTCATAATCAGCCATGTCAGGTACAACAACAAGGTTTGTGTAAATCTGATCCAGAGTCAAATGTTTGGGTGGGTGTCCTTTGCCAAGAGGACTTTGAAAAAGCGACTGAAGTTGTGGGGGTCGATAAGTGTCGTCCATAATCATTTTCTTTGTATTCTGGATGAATTTCTCAAGCGGTGAATTTACGAGTAGTTCAGGCCCGCTTGGCAGATGTGGGATGTTTATTTCATGTTCTGTCCGTTCTTGCTGCTGAATTTCATGTGGGATGTTTATTACAATTTGTACTCTTTCTTCTTGCTGCCGAGATTCTTCGGAAGGATTTAGATGAGATGTTTGAAACTTTGAGTTTTGCATGAAATCCCTTTCTCTGCATGCCTTAAAAAAAATGTAGACGATTTCAATCAAAATGCCAGCGACAAAAATTCCATTTACCACAAGGACAGCGTCCATCCAGGAGTTGGTTTTTACCGCCCGTTGATTGTGACAGTTGTGTAAGGTAGAGCGTTGGGCGTTGTCAGATGAATTCCTCGGCTGAGTGGTTCCATCGGTTAAATAGCAGTGAAACTTAGAGGAAAGCCTTAAAGGATAAAGCAACTGAGTTTGTAGGATGATGAAAATAATTCCTAAAACAATTCTTGTGGATAGTTGACAGCAGTAAGCGATGAAAAGCTTGTATCCTGTTGATAATGCGTTCTCTTGTCTCTGTGGATCACCGTTACGAAAGCTTCGCGACAGTCGATTGACTGTAGGTCTTACTATTCGGGAGTAAATGGCACACACACACATAATAAGGACGAAATTCATGATTACGAAGCCATAGACAGGAAAAGCGAATTTGTTATACTGCTCCTGGTATTTCTCGTAACATTCTCCCCGGACGAGGTCGATGTTTTCACTTTTCGCTGCGCCACAGCGGAAATCAAACCTGGGTTCGCTGTTTTCCATGTCGGCGAATATACCAAGGAAGAGGACACCAATCAGGATCCAAAGAACCACAGCAACATATTGAATTTTGCCAAAAGTTTTTGGCTCTAAATAATCTAATAGTTTTTCCACTGACATCTTGAGTGATTCTGTAACTTTCGTTTGAACACTAATTTTCTCCGGCTGAAATGAACTGCTAATTTGACCATAGCATATTTAAAGAGATACAGAACTTTCGTTTGATTGGCTCTTTGAAAACTTTCAATTGTCAGAAAGGCGATGGCTTATGCAACGTTTACTTGTTTACATAAGAAACAGATATCAGACCACTAAATTAAGACGGTTACAGATGTGTCCTATTTCTGGAAGATGCGCTTGACCTCCATTCATCCATTCGCCCCCATATCATTTGCACATTATCACACTTCACTTAATTTTCAGCTCTCAAACCCAGAGTGCTAATGTTGGTTATTATTCAACTTAAAGCCTGGTAAATTCTAAGCTACCAAGTATCGCCGTTTTTCTGTGGCATTTCAAAAGAGATTTGTATTTCTTACTTAGAAGCTAAAACACCTGGGTGTGATGCAGGTCAGAGACTTTTTTCTTTAATGCCAGTGGGAGACGTGATGAAAGAAACACATAGTCTTTAGACTCTGTAAGGCTGGATAAAAAGTAATGATGAGGCAAGAATTTCCGCGTCAAGCTAAACTTTGAATCGTCAAATTCCCGCTTTGAAATGAGTCCGCAAAACTAGTTCACACTGGCTATCACCTGCTTAGATTGGAAACAATAGAAACTAAACTGTATAAAATTATTTTTGTTGTCTTATTTCGTTGTAGTTCTTCACTTCGCGTTGGCAAAAAATTCCGTAGCATGTGAAGAGCACGCGGCGCCAAGTCCCTTTGACTGGACGTCATCAGTTGTTCAAGAGGTTAGGAGGGCACTGTAATTAACTGATAGATTTGGCGCCAGATTGATTCTTGGCGGGAGGATTAAAGAGCTTTAAGACAAATATCGTGACAATAGCGAAGAGTGCTAATGACGTCATGAAATTTCAGTTCCCCTTCGTGACTCAGACAAACAACGTTCGATTCTTGTTGCGTGTGATAAATAATAAGTAAACGAATGGAGGGCATTTCGCTTCAATCTTTTGCGGTTTAGATGGCTAAACAATGTTGTTAGAAAACTAAACCAAACAATTTCACGAGACTTTCGAAATGAACAACAGAGCACTTGATCATAATGCTTCCAATCAACTGAATTAACCTCTGACTGCGTTAGCCAAAACAAAAACTTTCATGTGGGTCCAAAGCAAGGTCAGTAGACAAATTAAACACGTCCACTTATGGAAGTTAGACAAGGCTGTCACAATTCGGAAACTCATCACAACAGCTCAAAGCGAAATAACTTCGGAATTTGAATTTATACAAAAGAGGTGCACAACAAAAACAAACGACTGCGTTGCATCAAGGTTGGAAATTAGCCTTTAGGTACATTCTAATTATAAACGAAAGATTAAATCAGAATAGTAAAGAACTAACAAAATGACTTACTAATCATAAACTAATTAAATACTTCCTAACAGAAGGATCCATTTTCGTGAACGGGAGGTATTCTGTATGACAGATCACTCTGCTCGTAACCACGAAAATAACCACCAGCTGCTGGTACACTTCATGACACATACACGTCCGTGTAGCCGCATTCCCCAAAATGGCGGATAATAACAGCACACCACCTTTTCCCGCCGTTCACGAAAATGAATTAAGCGAGGGGAATGAAAGAAGAGGCCGGTGAAATTTTTCCTTGTTAGTGCCAAAGAAGATTAGACGTAGGGGATCATAGAAGACATCTGATTTGAGTACTACGGTCACCACCTCGGCTGGTCAAGATGATTTCGAAAATCCTTCTCATCAGGCGTTGCAACCTAGACCAATTTTAGATGCTTTGCTGGTAAGTCTTAATTTTGCATCTATTAAAAATATTTTCGATTCTGTTTTTTTTTTTTTACTGTCCAAGCCGAAATGGGCAAAAGTGTCTTCAGTGACAACAAGATTCATATCAATGAGTCGTTAACCACCTACAGGAAGAGATTGTTTGGGAAAATTAATACATTCAAACAACAGCGTAATCACAAATTTTTATGGACTGCCAACGGAAAGATCCTCCTAAGAGAGACTGAGACCTCACGCATTGTAAGCTTCTCTACCCACGAGGAATTCGAAGATTATTTGGATGAGATTAATAACAGATTAGAATTTTTTTTTTCAACATCTGATTATTCATATTTATTTATATTTCTTCACTTTATATAATCTCCAATGAATGAATTACAATTAATTCCTTGTAAATTTTGCCATTTCTACAACCTCAATGATCGAGAGTTTAATATTGCAAATGGCTTAAGGTCAGTTCATTTCAATCAGTTAATAGATACTGACCTGTTCAATTTGATATCCAACCCTGATAAATCTGATGAAACCGATCCTGACTTAATGCTTACTATTCCAATGTCAAATTACTACTCCATTTCTCAGATAAATAATGCTATTGCCAAAGCTGGGCCAAAAGCTATTTCAATAATTTCAATTAATATGAGAAGCTTACAAAAAAATTTAGCTTTGCTTGAAGATTTTCTTTATTCCCTTGATAAAAGACCAGAAATTCTTGCTATTACTGAAACCAGATTAAATGCAAACTCTGTTTGTAATGTGGATCTTTTAAACTATGAACTTTATCATACTGATTCACCTACTTCGCCTGGTGGGTCAGCTATCTACATCATTAAGACTCTTAAATCTATACCCAGACTTGATATAAAATTTAATCTGCAACTAGTCAAATTGTGCTTGGTTGAAATCAATCCATGTAATGGCAAGGCACCTATATTAATTGGATCCATTTATAGACACCCTGGTGCTAATATAGAAGAATTTACTAAACATCTTGATGATCTAATTATAAAATTACAGAATAGATACCAACTATACATTCTGGGAGACATGAATATAGATTTTTTAAAATATAACCATCATACACAAACTGAAGAGTACCTAGATATGCTCCACTCTAACAACATCTCACCAATAATAACTAAGCCTACCAGAATTACTAATTATACAGCAACTTTGATAGATCATATATATACCAACAACACTAACCAAATGATATCTGGAATTGCTACAATAGATATCTGGGATCATCTACCAACCTTTTGTATTGTTGATATACCAGTACAAAAACAAAAATTTAAGAGATATTATAGAGACTACAGGCAATTTGATTCAGAACTATACCTACAGGATATCAAAGCAATTGACTGGAATAGTATTTACATTGAAAGCAATGACTGTAATGAAATTTCAGCTAAGTCCATAAGTACTCTTCAGCTTATTGTTCATAAACATGCACCAAGGAAACAAATATCCCAAAGTAAACAGAAGCAGTTTAGTAAGCCTTGGATAACTAATGGTATACTCAAATCTATCAAAAATAAACAAAGCATGTATAGAACACACTTTCTCTCAAATAACCCCCCCAAAAAAAAAGCAGAATATAAAAAATATGCTTATAAACTTAACCACTTAAAGACCGTTAACCATGATATTCTGCTCTCTAAATTATATACTTATGGAATCCATGGAACCCCATTTAAATGGTTTAAAAGCTACTTATGCAATTGCACTCAATTTGTAAAGATTGATGAAATTGAATCCAGTATGGAAACTATTACATGTGGAGTTTCCCAGGGTTCAACACTCAGGCCATTGTTATTCTTGCTTTATATTAATGATTTACCAAACTCCTCTGAGAAGCTTTCTTTTAGAATATTTGCAGATGATACTAATATTTTCTTTACCAGTAGTAATCCAAATGAGGTTGAATTTACAATGAATGAAGAGATTAAATTAGTTTTAAAATATTGTTCTATTAATAAGTTATCTGTAAATTTTAAGAAAACTAATTATATGCTAATAACATCATCAAAGAAAAAAATACATTTAAATATCCACAATATTGATTGCAAAAGCTATATTAAGTATCTAGGTATATACCTTGATGAGCATCTACAGTGGGAATCCCAAATTCAACATGTAAATAATAAATTAGCAAAGAATGTAGGTATAATTAATAAGCTAAGACACTATCTTGATTTTCATATGCTCAAACAGTTATATTATACCCTTATTTATCCATACTTAAACTATGGTCTTGCCAGCTGGGGTGCTGCTTACAAAACTAGATTAAATAAAATCTGCACTAAGCAGAGTAGATGTATATGAAGCATGTTCTTTGCTCATGGCAGAGAACATGTCAACTTGTATTATAATCTTCTTGGAATCTTGAAACTTGAAAATATTTACAGACTAAAAGTATCACTTTTTACATATAAACTTAAGAATGACAAAAGTAACACCCCAGCTGTACTACTGAATATTCTCACACCTGCATCAGAGATTCACTCATATAATACCAGGTATGTTGCAAATCAAAACTTCTTTAAGCCATCAGTATGCACTAATTATGGTATGTCTGCATTTAAATTCTTTGCAATAAAAATCTGGGAATCTGTACCACCTGAATTTAAATGTTTTCCATACATGCTATTCAAAAAGCAGTATAAAAGATTCTTATTGAGTACTCAAAACTGACCATAGTTTAACTGTTAGCTATATAAGATAATGCTTCACAACATGCAGTTTTCCTTTTATTCTAACTTGTATTTATGTATGTCTTTCCTCTCTTACAATAACAATATTGTCTTTAATGTAACTATTAATTTAAATTATACTTAACATGCAGCCAACCCCAACTCATATCTACACATGACAGTGACCAACTCGAAAGCTCATTGGCTACTTTGGTCACTGTACATGATTAAATATTCTTTCTTCTAGTTAATTTCTGTTTGTATTTTTTCTATATCATTGTAAATCATGTTATGTTAAGTTATTTTTTCTGTAAACAGTGTGAAATAATAAACTTGAAAACTTGAACTTGAAACTTTACAGTCATTTTAGGCTTAAGTTCTTGTAGCATGTACTCTATAAATTATATTTGGGTGTGACACATGTCAGGAAAAGATCAGGAAAGAAGTCATGGAATTTTATTTTGAGTCATGGGAAGTTGGCATGTTTGAAAAAAGTCAAGGAAAACTGATGTCTGTAGCAACCAAGATATTTCTCATTTGACAGACTTTTTTTGTTTGTTTGTTTGTTTGTTTTTTCACAGATATATAGGAAACTGTTTTGTTGATGAGTTGTGATGAATCACATACAATGACAGTATTAATTTTTTTTTTATTCCTCATTATTTTCTTTTATATTGGGCTGAAGCTTATATCATTAATACCTCCTCTTTTCCAATGAGGATTTTACATGCATTTTTTAATTAAAAACAGATCTCTTACCATACATAGGAGTGTAAATTTCACAGCAGTTTAAATATTTATGGTGTTATTATTTATTTCTAGGATGTTTCTGATGATGAAATCATAGCAGATGGTGAATTAAGTTCTGCTTCATCCACTGATCCATGCTCTCTGACAGACCTTGTGCCTGTTACCTCACAGTTTGTGTACATGTTAGAGCTGTTGAACAGCAATGCTTTTCCCATCATTGGCAGCAAGATTTCTTTGTTCACTTTTCCAGATTTTGATACAGTTACAAAGAAATTGCTTGTAAGTGCCTGGGATATTTCTCATAAATATTAAGGATAAGGCCTAGGTAGAGGCACTTATTATTAATATTCCCAAATCTTGGCCAGCAGGCTGATCATTGTTTATAAGTTATTTTTGTAGCACTAGTGTTGATCTTGTTTTGTACTGCTAGTACTGTAGTACAAAAAGAAATGACCACAATTTATGTACTACTAGTAAGTAGACCTTTCCACCTAAACAAGACTCAAACCTGGGTAGTATTAATACATCACTGTATACATGCAATATAAAATATCCTAATTGCACACCTTTGGTATTCATAATTATTTTTGATTTTGTTTAATATTTTATATCTAATGTTTAATATTTATTTATATTTTGGGTTCTCTGTACTGTAGTTTCTAGTGCATCTTGTACATGTACAAGGAGGTTAGACATTCTGTGACTTGGCACAAATTGTTTGTGGTTTGTACCCTTGGGGCGCATCAAAAATGTCTGTTTTTTTATTGGTTAGCACAGTAGCTATGTAGATTACTCATAACTAGATATAATGTGGTACTTGTGCTTATGCCAAACAAAATCAATCATTTACCTTACATATTTTTTATCCTCTACCATCAGGAAGCCAAATATGTGATTGTTGAAAGAGAACCCAGGGATAACATTTGGATCTATCATTGCAAATGTGTTGAAGGCACAAGGCAAACAGATTATTTGCAGTCACTGTCATCAACAGTCACAGGAGATAGTAAGTACAAGCATATAAACTGATATAAATAATTTATAAAAATGCTCCAATAAAATTGTTCATCCAAGTCACAGTTTGAATGTAGACAATAACTGTATCTCATGTGCACATTCATTAAGTGCCATTCATTTCTGTTTATACATTAGGAGGCAACTGCAGTTCCCATCCTCTTTCTTACAGCTTCTCTTTTTTATTGTTGCCAATTATTTCTCCAGCCTCCTTTAAGCACCCTCGTGTGCTAGTCAAATGTTTTTTCTATTGAATTCTAACAACCTGAGTTGTGAAATGAAAGGCCCCAACTACTAGTAACAGGATTATAAGCTGTCTTCATTTAGCTATTTTGTTTTGAATCTGACCCCTGTGTCTTTGACTGTGTCCCAGGCCCCTGTGCCATAATTTTCTTCTTTGCATTTCAGTATTAAATTGAGTAATAAATTATATCTAATAATAAGTATTGTTTATTAAATGTTTCTCACAGGTTTAACTGCAGCTAGTTCTGTTTATGGGAATTGCATCCATATTGAAGCCACTGAAAAGTTGATGGAAAGCTTTGACAGGGAAAACAACATCACCCCTTCACTTGCCAGAGACACATATTCTCATGATCACACTTACCAAGTAAGATGAATGAATTTTTTGCTTTAGAACATTAAAATTTTGGAATTATTACTAACATTAATCTTACTTTCATCAACATTTTTCTGGTTATTTTTCACTCATCCTAATGATTTTGGTTTAAGTTAAATAATGTTAGAGCATAATTTGTGTATTTAAACAGCTAGGCCCCCTTCAGAGTACAGCTATTTATGAATCTTAGTTTATTATATTCTTGGAGAAATGACAAGTGCATTATTTGCTGTAAGTAGCTGTAAACATCATATTTTTCCATTTGTATCTGTTATTTAAGTAAAGACTATCTGAAATGATTGTAGCATTTCCACAGTCTACTTACTTTTTGTTCTTGCTGTTTTTCTATCTCAGGAGGAACATCATGACTTATTGCCTTTGAATGGGAATAATTTTACCATTTTTGTACATGGAAATAAACAGCATGGAGTAGTTGGCCTCCAGGGTGCACTTATCACTTGCTTTATCTGTGATCACCAGCATCACAACTGTGAGCATGTAACAAAAGTAGCAGAATCTGAGGAAACAATGGAACACAGAATGCGGGATTTTCTTGTCTATTTTTTTGCTGAGAGAAATTTTCAAGAGTCTATTAAATCAGATTTTGCACCTGACATTTTACTATTTTCAAGCTCATTTAAGCAATTAAGCAAAGAGTAAATGCACTTAAATAATGGATCACATAGAAATGTAACTTAGAAAAAATATTCTAATTTATGCACTAATAGTAATACGAGCTGTCACGATTAAAGAAGATGATCAGCTTGTCATTGAAAATTGTCAGCTGCCCACATGCTTCGTTTCGTTTTGATAACCTGACATGCAACACCGAAAAATTATTATAATTTATGCACTAATTAATAATAATTCAAGCTGTCATAATTAAATAAGGTGAACAGTTTTTCATTTAGATGTGCTAGCTGGCCAAGTAGTTTGTCTCAATCATCTAAAATGCAGCATGGAAAAAATTTATGTACTTTCAGTAATACAAGCTTTCTTAATCAGGGAGGTGATCAGTTTGTTATTGAGATTTACCAGCTTTGCATTGAGATTTGCCAACCCAGGGGAATATGACATTTTCAGGTTTTCAAAATCACCTGCTGGACTCCTAACATGGCAGGTAGGTCAAACTCCTGACCTGAAATCAGTGGGTAAATGTCAAAATCCCCATCTAAGGAGGGCCCTCCCAATCAATTTCCTGCAGGTAGCTTGTCCCCCCCTCCCACCCCAATCCTGGGGCAAACCATTGGTAGGTGCATTTATCTAGCAGTATCACTCACCAAAAGGAGATTGAGAGGGGTGAAATGGGAAGGTCCTTTTAGAAGAGAGGAGGGGTCTGCTAGAGTTTTAGCAATTAGTGCCAGACCCCTGATGAGCATCTCCCCCACTCCTCTCAAATCTTCGTTTGGGCAGGAAAAACATGCTTCCTGCAGCACTATTAATAAGGGCTTGCTCACAGGCAAGCAAATGATGAGATGTTGTTTACTCTGCATATTTTTTTGCTTATGTGATTGGGTATTTTTTGTTTTGTTTTGTTTTGTTCTTTGGGAAAGAAACAGGCAATTCAGGCAAGCAGTAAAGGAGCAAAAAAGACCAAAAACAAAAGTCAACTTCATGAACTGGTAACTGATTTTATTTTTGTTTAGCATCACTGCACTCATGCTATGCACAAATAAAATGAGACCCAAAAATGAAATAAACTTTTACACCCCAATATCAGTGAGCATATTCTCTATACTGTTTTTCATACATTTTTTTGATTTAGCTAATTAGGAGAATTTGTTGAACAATCAAGACTTTCTTTACTTGGAAATCATTTCCTTTATTCTTGTGGCCTTCATTTGTGATTTCTGGGTGATATTGTAAGGGGTAATTAGGTAATAGACTCTCACAGAGGTGGTAAATTGTGAGCTCTGTTATTGAGAAGGCAAGATATTATTCATTGGTTGACAATTATAGAACTAATAGAGAAATTTGTGATTTGTATATCGTCACATAACGCTGTCAACATTGCAGTAGAACACCTGTCACATCATTTGAACATGGTAGTAGTCTAGTTCACCAGGAGGGTCTCTACATCTCAGAGGTAGAACATTGTGAAACAAAATATAAAACTCTGAGGTTTTTTGTCATAGGAGACTTTGCTTTTTCCTTTTCCCCATTGTGATCAATGAATAACATCTTTCTTTTATCCTTTGACTCCTAAGAGTAATTAGCTTCTGATTTCTCTTGAGTAAAGACTTGATTGTGGCAGTAAGTATACTTAGAGAAAAACTATTTTGTATCTCTGTTTAACCCTTTGACTCCCATGAGTGACCAAGATAGAATTTCTCCTTAATGTATCAATACATTATCAAGCAGACAAGTGATGAGAATGAAGAAAAATATCAATTTGGTAAAATTAGTTGATCCAATACTAAATTCTCTGACCTAACATTATAAGAATTGTATGGTTGACAGTAAGGAGAATGACAAATTTGATCTGGGAGTTAAAGGGTTAATGCATCATATTGTTTCTGTTATAAGTAAATTATCAATACAAAATACATAATTGTACTCTCTACAGCATAGAACTAGCTTAATTTAAATTTCCCTTTGTTCAATGTTTTGATTCCACTATGAATATGAAACACACTGTTCTCCCTTACTTTGAGAATGACAGATTAAAAAAAAATTTCAATCCATCTGAGTGTGGATTTTTCAAGAATTTCAAGCAATTTTAGGCAGTAGTAAGAGATTATTACAAGATGTAAACCTGAAGAGGAGAACTGTGGAAACATCATGATGACAGTTTCATCAAATCATTTTAACTGTATATAATTACTGCACTTGGTTTTTCACTCAGTTCCATGTTACTGTCCTTTGTTTTAAAGTCTCACAATGAAGCACAGATCATACCTTCAAAAATACGTTTAGTTGTGGTGAGATAGATGAATGTTTAATTTCTTGCTGATATTATTGTCAGCATGATATACAACTAAATATCCATTCAGTGGACATGTTTTAGGGTACTAATAATTAAAGAACAAAAGCATTCTATTTTGATCATGCAAACCACTTTAAACAAAAGGTTTTGTTTATAAATAACATTATTTTGAAATAATTGCTTTTTTGTAAATTTTCTTGAACTTCTTTGTAGTTTTATTCTTCATTTATGTAAATGTACCAAAAACCTTTTTTCTGTAGTGCAAATGTTTTGTTTTGTCTTCAGGATGTATTGTTTCTCAGAACAATAATGACAATTATTGCTTACAGAGTGGAACCAATCTTTTTTAATCTATTTTTGGTAGCACTGGTACTGTGCGGCATTGAGGTGTATGTTATTTCAAAATATTTCAAAACTTCATTCCACAAAACAAGATACCAATATGTCCATGTATTCAAAAATTATAACAGCACAGCAATGGGCAAACTTATGTTACATGGTATGTGGAGAATTTCTAATAATCAGTAAAGATGTTTCCTTCAAAGAATTTTGCTGACCAAGCTGTGAAAGACTGGAAAAGCCCTCTGATTGATTTGAAAGGAATAAAGTTTTAATCCATTTTTAAAGAAAAACTAAAAACTTTTTTAAATGGGTTTAACTAATTTTAAGTAATTTCTACTTTGATATTCAATTCATTTTCATTTCGAAAAACATTTTCTCTCTCTTTATGTATCAGGAATATATGTTACTTTTTGTTCATATTTGTTTCATTTTATAACCAACTGGGCAATTAATTAGTCATGGAGGGTTCCACTGAAAAATGCCTTGGCAAGTTAGGTTCCCTCATTAAATATCATAATTATTGTCATCGTTATTACTACTTTCCTATTTCTGACTGTAAATATATTAAAATCATATAATTATTTGAACTGCATTAAAGAAATGAATATGAAAGCAATCTTTGCAGTTATAAATGCTACTTAGGTAATAGTGGAAATAGACCTGAAGAAAATTCACTGGTGTTGCACAGGTCATGGGTTCACATCCTGTACAGTCCTGAATTTTTTTCAGGCCTTATTTTTACTACTACTTTTTAGTAATGAAGATCACCTTCATTTACATTTCCTATTTCTGCTATATTGTGCTGTAAAATGTAGCTTGGAGTATGATGCAGATTACTCAGCTTTCCCTCATGCTGAAGGGTGTCATTTGGCACTTTCACAACACAAAGTAGAATCTCTATCAAACCTTAATTTGAAATAAGCTTTTTCTTAACCTTTCCAATCCCAAGATCTCTCAAGTAATTCTCCTTACTTTCTGCCACACACTGCTCATAGTTTTAGTTCTAAGAATTGATTCTTGGATCAAACATTTGGTTATCTCCTGAAGGATATTTTTCTATATTCTCATTACTTGTCTGCATGAAATTGTACTGGTGTTGTTAGGAGAAAGTATGTCTTGGTCACTACTGGGAGTGAACTGTTTAATACGCAATTCTCTTTTTTTTCACATAGTGCACAGTAAATGGGATCAAATTTGAAAAGCTTCAGAAAGGAGCAGGAAAGAATGTTGCTAGCCTGGAGATGTTCTTCTCTGGATTTCCCAAGATTATTGGTATGGAGAACTTCCCAGATCTTCAAAATTTAACTCTGATGGGACAACAGATTACAATGCTGGAGAATCTGGACTGTTTGCCAAACCTTACAGAGTTATGTGTGTCTGAAAGCAAGATAACTGTAAGTACAAGTCAAGGTTGAATTCTCAAATATTAATGGGGAACTTAAGCAAACCATGCCTCTATTAACAAGAAAAAAACATGAAATTGCCAAAATTTGCGAGGTCTAAGATTGGAAAATCCTAAAGCAAATTATTAAAATTTCAAATTGGCAGGATTCAAACTTGTGCCTGCCAGAAACCACCAACTGAGCTATAAAGTCACACATTGAGAGGAAGGTACATTCAGGACAAACATCTTCGGTAGACACAATGTCTAAAGTTAAAATTCCTCCATTTTAGAAATTCCCCAATTTTTTTTTTAGGTTAAGTGGTTGTGGGTATGGTTATTGTGAGAAATTTTGTGATTGGTAGATTTAGTTGAGTTGACCTAGAGTGATTGGTTGCTTCAACAGCCAACTGTCCAATTACAGCCAACTGTCTGATTACAGTC